GAGGAGGAGGAGGAGGAGGAGGAGGAGGAGGAGAAGAAGCTAGACCAGAGGAAGAACGGAGAACTCACCATGCCACCTTTCTCTGTGGCTAGCCATCTTCCCATAATGTGTTCCTCTGATTAAATGAAAAGATTTAACTGCAACCACTATTCTTGGACTTGATTTTACTGTTTGCTATGTTTGTTGGAAATGTAGAAAACTTTGTCCAGATAGTTAAAGGATTTTGTTTCTTTAGTACTCCAGCCTTTTTCCCCTTCAGGCATAAAATTTAGGTCTCTTTGTAAAGACCGGGATCTAACTTTTGTTATAATTGATCTCGAGTGTGTCTTCAGAACAATAATTGGCCAGAATATTCAGGGTTTGTTTAAATCCCATTGCAATAGAAAAATATTATAAAAGGAGATATTCCAACTACGTTTAGGAGGTTGAAGGGTGGAGTGGGGATGTTACAAAGCCTTGGCCTACATTATTGGTAATACTCAGAATGCTTGAATACTGTCAGTGAGGTTAGACTAAACAACAGCAAAAAAGCAAATACCTAATTAATTCCATGTCTTAAAACAGATAATATTCAGACAAAGGATTCCTGTACTATTTTATCTAATAATCTTTTCTAGTAATATTTGCTTGTCTAGCAATATAAATTTACTTAGCGATAAAAAGTGAAAAGAAGCCTGCTAAATCAGCCTTAAGCTTTACCTGGAACATCTTCCAGGTGTAACTGGGGCCAACCAGACATCTGTGAAAAATCCACAACAATTCCAGTCTTTGGCTGGGCTAATATTGAAAACTTAGCATGAGAACAGAAGGAAAGGCTTACAGCACATACATTTCTAGAGTATCTGAAATTGAAGAAATATGCTTCTAAAAATGTGTCATGCATCAAGAAGAAGGATGGCTTGGAGAGTTTTCAGCCATAGCATGACTCAGGTTTCTGCTGTGAACATTACAAAGAAAGCAGACACACCTTGTATAATCCAATATGGAAGTCATTGGTATAAATCAGTGGTTCCCAATCCTGCTGACTTTAAGACGCATGGACTTCAAATTCTGTGTTTGTGGGCAGGGCTTTCTGGTTGGGGAATTTGGGGAGTTGAAGTCCATGCATCTTAAAATTTCCAATATCGAGAACCCCTGGTATAAATAATTGTACATCTCATGATTAAGTAGAAAGAGGCAAAATAATTGGTGCCAAGGTGGTGGCGCAGTGGTTAAATGCAGCACTGCAGGCTACTTCAGCTGACTGCAGTTCTGCAGTTCAAATCTCACCGGCTCAAGGTTGACTCAGCATTCCATCCTTCCGAGGTGGGTAAAATGAGGACCCAGACTGTGGGGACAATATGCTGACTCTGTAAACCGCTTAGAGAGGGCTGAAAGCCCTATGAAGCGGTAGATAAGTCTAACTGCTATTGCTATTGCTATTGCTATTGCTAAATTGAAGTAAAACATTTTAAAATATTCTATACTCAATACTTTTAAGTAAAACTATTTTAAAAAATTCTATGCACAATAAATAAAATATTATTTTAATGTACATTAAAA